ACCTCCCTGTATTATGATTCTGCATTGGCCCCGCGCGCTCACTCTAAATCATTGAGCGTGTGAGCATTAGCAGAATTATAAATCTTTAAAACCAGCACCAGGAGCAATGAGATGCTAAAAAGCACCGCCATCTTTTATTCAGTCTTAACACAAGCCCATTTCCACTGTCACGTCTCTTTCTTTTTTTTTTTTTTTTCACCGGCTGATGACAAGTAATTTTGTTTTATGTATGATTGTTTCGCCGGGCTATTTTTGAATACATTTTACGTTCATGTCCCCATTTTCGTGACTCTGATGCTTCAATAAAACGTCAAATCCGAGGCGGTAAAAATATCCTGACGCGTGACTTCAAATGAGCTATTTTCAGTCCTTCGCGTTTCACCTCGTCTTTTTGAAATGCCCCCTTTTGTCTGTTCGGTTAAGAAACATCTCCGAGTACATTGTTATCCGCTAAACAGGGACACAGATGCTCAAAGATGTGCATTTTGTGCTGAATTACGTGCAAATAGGTCTGTCTAAAGGGTTGAGTGGTCGTGATACGGCAAGCGGCAGAGGACGAAATTAAGGGAATTGCTTTTTATTCATGCCAGCTTTGCGTCTTCCACCTGGTCTCATCTGTGCGTAATGCAGTCGTACCAAACAAAAGCCACTTTGTAACGGGGCGATGGAAGGAAAAGAGCATTTTGACAATTTAATATTTCACAATCAGGTCCTATATTACGCAAAATTGATTCTTGTGAGCTTTACTGCGTATTATTATGTTGTTACCGCATCAAAAACAGACCTAGAGTTGAGTTTTGTTTCATTCATATGTTTGAGTAACATTATTAGCCTGTGTATCTGTTCTACTTTGTGACGTCATTAAGTGGTAGTTTTCAAGTTAACAGCAACATTTTAACTTTAGTTCAGTAGAGATTGGCAGTTCCAGGTTTGAAATAATCCAAATGATTCTTGTGAAGGTGTATGATGTGAGTTTCTAAACACAGTGGAGCACTTCCTGTATTACCACATGTTTGTAAAATCCCTCAGTCGTCCAGGTAGAATCCATGGCAAAAGGAGAAATTTTATTTATCAACTGGACAAAAGTTTATTCATCCAATCTGCTTCTTCAGTTCTTGTCAAACTTGATGGATACTTCCTTATATCTGCCTGAAGGGAGGAGCTAAATACACTGAAACTACTCTGAAACTAAGACACCTACGTGTTCATAGTTTCTGTGTGTTAGGCCTCTTCAACTGCACTGAGGCTACGTCCACACAACAACACTCCTGATTTATTTTTTATTTATTTTTTGAGGGTTGAAAAAGATTTGCATCCACACATGTGTCGGATCAATAAATATTCACGTCAACATGAAAACGGAGCACTGAGTGAAAACGATGTAATACACATGCCACACCTGTATGTGGCGCTGTAAACAGGATACAGCCAGAGCCACTGGACACACAAAAAATAAAGTCCTTTCTGCGCGGGGTTGTCTTCTGGTCACGTGACGATGACGGGGTTGTTCCAAAAGCTGCAGTGTGCTTGTCCACATGACAACATGACGCCGGCGTTCTAATATTTCTCCACCCTGGTACCCACCAAAAACGCCGGCTCCATGTGAACGAAAGACCAAAATGAATACAAACTTCACCCTTTCGACCAAAAAATGTTGTCATGTGGACACCACCCTTGGTCTACTGAACTGCTCAGAGTGTGGGGTCTTATTAGCAGAACCTGACCTGATGACACCTATTGTTCTCTTTGTTTGTTTTGATGTAGATTTGAGGATGGAGTTGTAAATAGGAGATATATTTTTGTTCAAAGATGGATTGTCTTTCTTAACAAAAATAGCTTCTTTAACTCCCCTCTCAAATCAGTTCTTTTCTCTGACTAAGATCTGTACCTCACTGTCCTCAAATGAGTGGCCTCTAGCTTTTAAATGGAGATGCACAGCAGACTGAGGTCCTGTGTTGCTCTCTCGTCTGTGTTGGTACATCCTCTTGTGAAGTGACTGTTTCGTTTGGCGTTCACTGCAGTCTTCACTACACTGAATGGAGTAGACCACATTTCTTTGTTTGTGGCTTGGTGTTTTGGACCAGATTCTGTCTTAAAATGTTTTTATAGGTTTGAAATAGACCGGGATGTGTATCACCACATGACATCACAAGGTGGAACAGAGTGTTTTCTGTCTGAGGCTTTGTGTGTGAATGAAACAAAACGCAACTCCAGGTCTGTTTTTAATGTGGAAACATTATAACATAGACAAGAAAATAGTGTAATACGGACCATTTAAGGTCATGATTAGATTTAGGAACTGTTTTATTTTTATTTATTTTTTTGTTAAAGGGGCTGTACTCTTTTTATACCTTTCTTAAGTAATAATGTAAAATTTGTCTTTATTCCAGTACAGAACATATTGTAAAAACAGTTTCTTAGTTTCTATTTATAATTTTCTTTTTCTTTTTTTTCTTTTAATCATATGCAAACCAGAAAGTAAGTGGTGTTCGCATGCTAGTTGTTGTTGCTCACATTACCACGACAGCTTCAAATCAAATGTTCTTTTTTTTCACACTTTTAAAACAAATAAAATTCAGGTATAGCACTTTTAAGGTTAGAGCATCAGGCAGGTTTTGTGAAGTAAAAATAACATTGCTTATCCAGTTTTGTCGTCAAGTTCAGCGAGTTCACTTCCTGGATACCGGGTCACATGGTCTCCCGCCGCGACGCGATTGGTTCAACATACTCCCATATTAATGAAGTCTTCCTATCTCTCTCTCTTTCTCTTTCTTTATCCTTCCAAAAATACCTTTAAAACCAATTAGTGGAATTAATTTCACTTATAGCAAGTTAATTATTTTGTGATGGATTGAAGGAACAGAGGAGGTGAAGAAGAAAGGGAGGATGATGAAGGGACCAGCGGAGGAGTCCCTGGGGGAGAGCTATACTTAGGCCTAATCTTTCCGTCTTTTGTTTCTCCGCAGCTCCGGCTTCCTTTGACAGACTTTCTACCTAATTCAATCTTTCTAACACGTATATTTGTGTAATTTAGTTGTTATTTTTCCACAGTAAAGCGTTGTAAAAAAGCAAAACGAATCACGGATTATATGAAACAACAATGAAAAAAAAAAGGAAATAGCATGACCAAAGCAAAGAGTGTGTAATTGAGTTTTAAAGATACACACACTCGTGGCAATTAGGATTTTAAAGGTTCCTGGATGGAAGTGTAAAATTGAACTACAAACTCTGCAATGGGTGAACGCGCAATACTTTTAAAGGTCCTATATGACGCAAAACAGACTCGTGTGAGGTTTTAGTCGAGTTATAATGATGTTATCTCCTCAAAAACAGACCTGGAGTTGTGTTTTGTTTCATTCACACATGTTTGAGTAACTCTTTATTATTAGTCTCTCTACATCTCCAAAGCTTGTGGAGTTGTAGTGGGTTTTTTTTTTTAAGTTGACAGCTACTTTCAACCTTTAGTTCAGCAGAGATCAGAGTCCTGCACGGGTCCATTTTTGGAGACCCGCACCCGCCCAGATCCGTTATAAATCACACACAAATTAAAAGCATTCTAACTGAAGCATCCATCAGAATACGAATTGAAAAGTTACGATTTTAAGGATTACAGTCACGAAATGAAATTAAACGGTTCTTCAGTACGAATACAAATTCACAGACGCGACTCGACTGTCAAAAATATGTCATCACTTCACAGGAATTATTTACTGAGCAGAAGAAACATTGATCGAGATGCCGGATTTTTGAGCCACACACGCCACGGACTGAACCAGGACAAAACCAGGATTAACCCAGGACTGATTCCAGGACTGAACCAGGAGGACAAAACCAGGACTGAACTAGGACTAAAACAGGACTACACCGGGATTAAACCAGAACTGAATCAGGACTTACTTGTCAGGGCGGGCTCGGAGGTGCGCCTGTGTAGACCGTCGGGTGACAGCAGGTGAAAGAACACCTGGGGTGCAGAGCTCGACGCCCCAAGGAGAAAAGCGCAGCTGTTGCCCGATTGCACTTTGCAGACACGTTGCTCCACGGGCTCGGGGTTCTCTCTCTCAAGTCCAAAATTAGTCCTGGTGTAGTACTGGTTTAGTCCTGGGTTAGTCCTAGTGTAATCCTGGGTTAGTCCTGGTGTAGTCCTGGTTCAGTCCTGGTTAGTCCTGGTTCAGTCCTGGGTTAGTCCTGGTTCAGTCCTGGGTTAGTCCTGGTTCAGTCCTGGGTTAGTCCTGGTTTCATCCTGGCTTAGTCCTGGTTTTGTCCTGGTAGTCCTGGTTTCGTCCTGGGTTAGTCCTGGTGTAGTCCTGGTGTAATCCTGGTGTAGTCCTGGGTTAGTCCTGGTTAGTCCTGGTTAGTCCTGGTTAGTCCTGGGTTAGTCCTGGTTAGTCCTGGGTTAGTCCTGGTTTCGTCCTGGGTTAGTCCTGGTTAGTCCTGGTAGTCCTGGTTTAGTCCTGGTTAGTCCTGGTTAGTCCTGGGTTTAGTCCTGGTTTTTGGTCCTGGGTAGTCCTGGTTTAGTCCTGGGTTAGTCCTGGTTTAGTCCTGGGTTAGTCCTGGTTAGTCCTGGGTTAGTCCTGGTTTAGTCCTGGTTTAGTCCTGGGTTTAGTCCTGGTGTTCCTGGTTTAGTCCTGGTGTAGTCCTGGTTTATCCTGGTTTATTCCTGGTTGTAGTCCTGGTGTAGTCCTGGTGTAGTCCTGGTTAGTCCTGGTTTAGTCCTGGGTTAGTCCTGGTTTAGTCCTGGTGTAGTCCTGGTTCATCCTGGGTTAGTCCTGGTGTAGTCCTGGTGTAGTCCTGGTTTCATAATGGGTTAGTCCTGGGTTAGTCCTGGTGTAGTCCTGGTTTAGTCCTGGTTTAGTCCTGGTTTAGTCCTGGTTTAGTCCTGGGTTAGTCCTGATCCGCCTGTGTGTAATTACTGCCCGCATACCCACCCGTTCCAGGGCTGAAATGATCCAAATGATTCTAGTGAAGGTGTGTGGAGTAATAATTTTAAAAGTTAAACCAACCTTGTATTTGAAGGATTTATGTCTGAGCAGCAGCAGCGAGTTGTTCTTCCTGATAGAAAGTTCGGCAGCGGCGGACTGATATATGAGAAAATAGTTCCTCAACATGTGACAATTCATGTGATACAAATACAAAGACTGGATGGAATATTTTAAAAAGTGTCTCCACACGTCTCCAACACTCTGGATCACAAGGAAATGAGGCCCTATGTCCAAAACTCCGCACTGTCCCTTTAATAGTTCGTAGAAATGATCATGTTTTTGTACATTTCTGCCGCGTGCCGTATGTTTTTTCAGTGTTTCATTCTGTTTACAAGTATCTCTAAAGGTGTTACTGTCTGCAAATCAAAAACCTGCCCACTGACGGTTCCACTGCCAAATCTTTGTTCGAAATCACAGCTTTTTTTGGATCAAAATGAATCAAAGCTTGACAAGTGGTTGTTGTTTTCTTTAGTTTTTTTTTTTACTTTGAAAACAATTCACTCGGAAAGGCAACACATGGTCTAGAAATCTAACCCACAACCCTCTTTACTGGGCCAGCACGCAGCTTTTAAGGCTCTGAACATGATTTTTGCGATTGTATCTGAGCAAAAATCCTCTTCAATCTTCCGTCATAATCAGGAAGTGCGTCTTGGCATGCTAGTTGTTGTTCTCTTTAAATGTGCAACGTGAAATTCTTTTCTTCATGGAGATGTTATTGCATTGTCTGGAATGTTTCACAGTGCGGCATTAAACCTTTATATCTTCATGGAGACCAAACCAGGTCTAAATCAGGTCTAAACCAGGACCAAACCAGGTCTAAACCAGGTTCAAAACAGGTCTCAACCAGGTCTCAACCAGGTCTAAACCAGGTCTAAACCAGGTCTAGACTAGGTCTATATCAGATCCAAACCAGGTCTAAACCAGGTCTAAATCAGGTCCAAAACAAGTCTAAATCAGGTCTAAACCAGGACCAAACCAGGTCTAAACCAGGTTCAAAACAAGTCTCAACCATGTCTAAACCAAGTCTATATCAGGTCTAAATCTGGTACAAACCAGGTCTAAACCCGATCCAAACAAGGCCTAAACCAGGCCTAAACCAGGTCTAAACCAGGTCTAAACCCGGCCTAAACCAGGTCTAAACCAGGTCTAAACCCGGCCTAAACCAGGTCTAAACCAGGTCTAAACCAGGCCTAAACCAGGTCTAAACCCGGCCTAAACCAGGTCTAAAACAGGTCTAAAACAGATCCTAAAAATCCGACTTTTGATAACACCAGTCACCATTCTAAACAATACTGAATTAGGACCAAACCAAACCCAAACCAAGTCTAAACCAGGTCTAAACCAGGTCTAAACCAGGTCTAAACATCAAATCCCCAGGTTTAGTTTCAGTCTTTGTATTATCTATGGTTGGTGTGATCGTAAAACTCAACATTATGAATTATTCGTAGTGCTCTTTTCTGTCTTTTCCGATATTGTTTTATCATTTTTACAGCAGATCTCAGCACAGTACGTCAAATATGGTTCAAGTAAAGAATAATAAAGTGTATGTCGAGGTTTCATGTCCAGAAAATATTTGGTCTTACCTAATACTTCTATTCTTTTTGAAGTTTTCATATGTATATATTGTATTTTTATTGTGTGTATGTGTTCCCCAGATTCCTCCAAAAACTCCTGCACTAAACCAGACAGACACAAACGAACAGGGTCAAAGCAGAGCGGGAATAGTAGCTCCGAAAAGCCCGAGCACCATTCCATAAAAAATACTTAAACAGTGACTCATCCTTTGCTTGTGGAAATCGAGCTCAGTCCTTTAGCGCTTTTGTCTCTCACTGAACCAAATCCCCCGGTTTAGTTTCAGTCTTTGTATTATTATCTTCTCCCCGGTGACCACAGTGGACACAAAGTCAAACGCTTTTATTTTATTTATTTTATTTATTTAGTCTTGGATAAACCAGGTCTAAACCAGGTCTATATCAGGTCTAAATCTGGTACAAACCTGGTCTAAACCTGGTCTAAACCCGATCCAAACCAGGTCTAAACCAGGTCTAAACTAGGCCTAAACCAGGTCTAAACCAGGTCCAAAACAAGTCTAAATCAGGTCTAAACCAGGACCAAACCAGGTCTAAACCAGGTTCAAAACAGGTCTCAACCAGGTCTCAACCAGGTCTAAACCAGGTCTAAACCAGGTCTAGACTAGGTATAAACAAGGTCTAAACCAGGTCTAAACTAGGTCTAAACCAGGTCCAAACTAGGTCTATATCAGATCCAAACCAGGTCTAAACCAGGTCTAAATCAGGTCCAAAACAAGTCTAAATCAGGTCTAAACCAGGACCAAACCAGGTCTAAACCAGGTTCAAAACAGGTCTCAACCAGGTCTAAACCAGGTCTAAACCAGGTCTAGACTAGGTATAAACGAGGTCTAAACCAGGTCTAAACTAGGTCTAAACCAGGACCAAACCAGGTCTAAACCAGGTTCAAAACAAGTCTCAACCATGTCTAAATCAGGTCTATATCAGGTCTAAATCTGGTACAAACCTGGTCTAAACCTGGTCTAAACCCGATCCAAACCAGGTCTAAACCAGGCCTAAACCAGGTCTAAACCAGGTCTAAACCAGGCCTAAACCAGGTCTAAAACAGGTCTAAAACAGATCCTAAAAATCCGAGTTTTGATAACACCAGTCACCATTCTAAACAATACTGAATTAGGACCAAACCAAACCAGGTCTAAACCAGGTCTAAACCAGGTCTAAACCAGGTCTAAACCAAGTCTAAACATCAAATCCCCAGGTTTAGTTTCAGTCTTTGTATTATCTTTTCTGCGGTGACCACAGTGGACACAGCGCTCACAAAGTCAATCTCTTTTATTTTATTTATTTTAGTTTGTTTCGTTCTCTTCTCGGAGCAGAGTCTGGGAACGTTTCCAGGTTGAAATGCCACATGGCCCTCGGCGCTGGTGGAATGTACCGATGTAAAAGTAGAAAAGTACCGTGTTTCACTATAAATTTTAGATATCTGCAAATATAAATTATAGTTTCACACAAATCAAGAAGCAATTTGTGGAGAAAAGTTGAGAAATATGTTAAAAATCACAGGAAATAGAGAGTTCTATTTTAGACAGTCCCATATTGATGACATCTGTCCGAAAGTTTGGCACAATTTACACTGACGAAACACATTTTTTCTGATACTTTGGACATGATTTCAACAAAACAAAGGCGTTTTCTTATATTTTTAGAAGTCAAATATTCATTTCTGTGTACAAAAGAGTGGTTTTGGCCCAGTGTTGCTAAGAAACAGTTATGAAAATTATTTGTACTTTCTACTCCACTACATTTTTCAACAGGACTGAAAAGTAAAAGTATTTATTTATTTATTTTTATGATAGTTTGAGACTTGCTGAAATGGCTCAAGGTTTTTTTTTTTACACGTTTATAATTTGAGCAAAGACAAATATACTAAAAAACTAAAATATTCAACTCTTTCTGCACCAATATGTGTCAAAATCACTACATTTGAAGCGAGAAATACTTTCTCGTTTTACTCTTTAAGTACATTTTTAATTGGGTACTTTAATATTTTCACATGTAATACTTTTCATTTTATTTTTTTGCTCCAGTATCTGTACTTTTACTGAAGTAACAGAACTGAGTACTTCCTCCATGACTGTATAAGGGTCTGTTTACACGAGAACACGAAACTACAAAATATTTTATCTGAAGTGCCTTTCGTTTAGACGGTGTAAACCAGGTCTAAACCAGGTCTAAACCAGGTCTAAACCAGGTCTAAATTAGGTCTAAACCAGGTCTAAATTAGGCCTAAACCAGGTCCAAACCAGGTCTAAACCAGGTCAAAACCAGGTCCAAACCAGGTCCAAACCAGGTCTAAACCAGGTCTAAATTAGGTCTAAACCAGGTCTAAACTAGGTCTAAATCAGGTCCGAAAGAGGTCTAAATCTGGTCTAAAACAGGTCTAAATCAGATCCAAATCAGGTCCAAACCAGGTCTAAACCGGGTCCAAAACAGGTGTAAATCTGGTCCAAAACAGGTCTAAATCTGGTCTAAATCAGGTCCGAAAAATTTCTAAATCAGGTCCAAAACAGGTCTATATTAGGTCCAAACCAGGTCTAAATCAGGTCCAAACCATGTCCAAAATCAGGTCTAAATTAGGTCAAAACCAGGTCTAAACCAAGTATAAATCAATCAATAAATAAAAACGACAAAATATTTGATCTGAAGTGCCTTTCATTTAGGTGGTGTAAACCAGGTCCAAACCACGTCTAAATCAGGTCTAAACCACATCCAAACCAGGTCTAAACCACATCCAAACCAGGTCCAAACCAGGTCTAAATCAGGTCCAAACAAAGTCTAAACCAGGTTACATAAACATAGCCCAAGTTAGAGTTAGTAGATCTGTTTAATGTCACACTGTGGAACATTCCAGACAGAGCGATGACATCTCCATAGAAACAAACGGACCCCTAACCAAAAAGTTACACAGTGCACCTTTTACTTTTACTTTTATTTGAGTATTTTTTTGCTCCAGTATTTGTACTTTTACTCGAGTAACAAATTGAAGTACTTGTTCCTCCACTGGCCCTGGGTTTTGTGTTTTTTGTTGTAAGTGTTGTGTTCCTGCTCGAGTGGCTCTTTCTCACGGTGCGGACTGAGCATGTGCAGAAAAATGCCTCTGGCTCAGACTAAACCTGAGTCTGTTTTATCAATTTACTTTTGCAGAGTGGAAATGGAACACGGACGAGATCAGAGGTTCAAAGATTTAACGTTGTGTAACACTTTTTCTATTGCTGTTTCTATTCCAGTTTTATTATTCCAAACCAGGACTAAACCAGGTCTAAACCAGGTCTAAACCAGGTCTAAACCAGGTCTAAATCAGGTCCAGGTCTAAATCTAAATAAGGTCCAAACCAGGTCTAAATCAGGTCAAATCTCTAAATCAGGTCTAAACAGGTCTAAACAGGTCTAAATCAAACCAGGTCTAAATTAGGTCTAAATCCAGGTCTAAATCAGGTCCAAACCAGGTCCAAAATCAGGTCTAAATCTAAACAGGTCTAAACCAGGTCTAAACCAGGTC